ATTATAATACATTTTTAACGTCTTCTATTTTTTAAAGCATTGAATATTCTTGCTGCATCATCATAGAAGATTTTGCCTTTACTAGGTATTTGTCCATCTTACATTAGTGCATAAAAAATTTGAACGTCTTACATGAAAAAACCTTACCTACGGTAAACACGTGGTTGCAGAGAAATGTGTTCTGAAAGGGATTCCGTGGTTCGGCTGTGTTCTGTTGTTCGAAAAGGTTCTGACCAATACTGATAAATAGGGAAGCTAGATAACGGTGCAAATGTTGAAAATAATGAAAGATCCAGGAAGAAAAGTGAAACGGATTTTATTCTAAATAGCGTAATTTGAAGCTTCTTCCAAAATGCGAGAAATTCGCGAATTTTGAAATTGATTTATGGAATGCTCGAATTTCTCGCAGTAATAATTTTTTAATGCGAGAAAAGAAAAAAATATGCGAGATTCTCGCGTTCTCGCGCTGTAGTGAAAACACTGAGTGTAAATTTTTATCATCCAGAGACAGCTCAGGCTTATTAGAATGTGTCAGTAAGTTTTGTTTTATCACGTTTTTACTCGGTCGGAAGCATAATCTGCTGTGATTGCCTATTTTTGTTTGGGAGTTTTGTTATTTGTGGGACTGCACACATGTTTTGTACCATTGGTAGATGAATTTACATTGAAAAATGGCATATCACTTCTCTTGGAAAGTATCACTTTTGTGTTGTCCCTTATTTTAAAAACTATCATACAAAGACATTTAACTTCTTTTGCCTGAGATAATTTGGGAATAGTAAACTGTTAAATATTTTAGACACATAAAAAAATGTATGTTTTGTTCCTCTTGTATTTATTAAAAACTTACATTGTTTTATTTCAGGCTGTGAACCGGGGAGACCCGTACTCGGCAGAAGTCGCTGCTACAGTTTTGGCAGTCATGAAAGAGTTAAACTGGAAATATCCTTACAGACTTGTATGGCAATCAAAAGTAAGTTCAATATACCAAAAATTTTAACTTCTATCGTGATGTTTAAAAATTAGCAGCTTGTATATAATATATTTTAACCTATTTTTTGCTGCCTACTAAATTTTATTGATAAAATTAAATTTTGTATTATTTTATAGCTTGTATGTTCAATTGCAGGATAGAAAAATTGTTCCATATATTTAGTTTTGTGCTTGGATTTATAAAAACTATTAGACAAGAACAATTTTATTTAACGTTTGGGTTTGATCGTTTAAAAGTACATAGCTTATGATGTAAAATTTTTGAAACTTGCAATTCAAAAAAATTGACCAATTTTTTAAATTAATAAATGTGATTCATTAAATTATAAAGGTTATTCATTAAATTATAAAGGTTATTCATTATAATAGGACTCTTGCCATTTTTGTGACAATTTCCACCGAATGTTCTAAGGTCGCATATCCAAGGACAATAATTTGTCGCCTTGAAATATCATCTTGCATCAAATTCTGTGCATTGAAAAAAATTGAGGTAATTTTATTGTTCTACGCATGGTATGAAGTTCAAATGGAATAACTGAAAGTTCCTGGTATAAAAATTTTTAAATTTAAATGTTGTAATTTCGAGCTAATGTGCTGTGATTTGCATTCACGTACTAACAATATCATCAGTGAAATAATATTTATTGCTTTCTTAGAATTGACTTCATTTATGATTTTTAGATAATTTATTTTTAATATAATAATTTGTTGGTTCTTTTTTTTTCTGTTTTCATCATTTGTTTATTTATTCAGTTTCTATGTTGGATCCATTTACTATTATTATTTTAACTCATTATTACTTAATTTTAATAAATACTTATCTTCAATCATTATGGGAAAACAAACCTAATCAGTTTTAGGATGTCATGGATAGCGAATAAGTATCTTTTTTTAGTGTACCATAACATGAATTATGTAATTAAGAATATCGATCCCCCCCCCATGATGTTTGTGTACCCTATTAAGCTTTTTGGACCACCTACGTAGAGAGTTTGAATACTTAAGTAGTCCAAATGGACCACTAAATTTTCATTGCTGGTGTGAACCTTATTCATTCAGTAATATGATTCGTTCAAAAAAGTTGAATTGAACTTATGATTCACTCAAAAAGGAAAATAAGTTTGATTTCTATCTTGTATTTCATTCTGATTAAGTTAAGTACTATTACTGATATCTGAGTTTTATAAGTAAAAGAATATTTTAAAAGGAAAAATAAAATAATCAGAGATGATGGTGATCTGGAAAAATTCCGGATTTTTCTCTAACCGCAATCCGGAAATCCAAGGCCCTGAAGTTTCAAGAAATCATCGATCACATTTATGTATAAAAATTCTTGTATATTTTATTTAAAAATATTAGAACTAGAATTTATACTTGGCATTTCTTTCATTTGTAAATATTTTTTCTGGTAGAATAATAAATGTGATTAGAGATAAAAGTAAACTTATACAAAATTATTAATTTAAATTATGATGCATATAACTTATTTATAATTTCATGTTGTGAAAATATGAATGATTTAAATTTATGAAGACATTAATTCTTTAAAATGCATATGGTTTTACTCAAGAAATTTTAAGGATCTTTAATTTGGGCTCACAATCACCCGTGAATTATTCTAATCTAATGTAAAGTTTTTTTATTAAATTTATTTCTAAACATAAAATTTCACAGAAAGGTTCATCTGGTTTAAATGAACACAAGTAAATAAACAATTGACAATATATTCTAGATAAATGCATGACATAGAAAATTAAAGTATACAAATATATTTTATTCTATTTTGAGGTTTAAAGTTTAGAGCATATTTAAATATAAATGTATACTCGTTATTTTTTTAAAAAATACTTTCCAAATAACATGCGTTGCAATCTGACAGATGCATGCAATCTGTCTAAATATAAATGAATAAATTATGTCAACTATAGTGAAATTCATACATTTAAATAAAAATGTATAATACACAACTAGAATAGTGTTGAACCTCTTAACTATTTAGTTTTCAATGTAAATATCTGCTTTATATTGAGCTCTTTGAAGCCAGGAAAGAGGTTTAATAGGTTCTATTGAGTTATGACAGTTATGGTGACTCAAGAGATTGAGCCTTTGTGCGTAGTGTTTTTAAAAAGTACTTAAAGGTGCTTATTTCAGGTTATCCGCGCACCTGAAAAATCATAGAAAGTCATGAATTGAACAAAATTTGTCATGAAATGTCATGATTTTAACTATTTTTTAAAAAAAATAATGGAAAGTCATGGATTTAGGTCGCCGAAAAATTTTATTTTTAAAGTGGAATCCCCCCCTCCCCCAATTATTTCATGGTATTCTGAATATCTGAATTTGTAAAAAAATCCACACTTAGAGTCATATTTTATTAAAATATAAAATGTTTTTATTATGTTCTTTAAAAATTATGGTGTTCTTTCAAAAAATGAAACGAAAAACATCATTTCTAGAGCAAAGTATATTTTAAACTTCTGTGATTTCAGAATTATTATTATTATTTATTAATTTTTATTTTATCAATTTAAAATTCTAGCTGAAGCAAGCCAGTCATTGGCAATTTTTTTTTTTTTAAATTCCGAAATGAGAACAGAAAAATCAGGAGTATTTCTCTCCTTTCTGATGAACAAGAAAAGTATCTTCAGAATACAATTCTGCAGAAAAAAAATTATTTGCTCAGCTATTATTTTTTAAGTTATTTTATTGCTTCAACCCTTTCTTTTCTCTGTTTTTTAAATTTAAAATCAATAAATATGAAGATGCAGAGTATAACAGTTTTGGTTATACCTATCATTTTAATTAATGTTATTATAATGCTTTTTAAATTTATTATTCTTCTTTTGTCGGAGAAAATAGTAACTTCGTCAAGTCTTGAAAAGTTCTTGGAATGAGTCATGAATTTGAAAGTCTAAAATGTAGCAGATACCCTGTTATTTTTGATTTTCATTTTTTAAAAGCCCTTAAAGGTGCTTTTTTTCATGAGGTGTTTTTAAAAAGTGCTTAATTTTTCCTTTTCGAAAATGGAATTTCTTCCTTTACCATGTCGATTTTCGCTGCGTATTATGCAAATGCGTGGTTTTCACTTAGTTCTATTCAATGTTTTCACAAAATATTCTACCACAATCCATTTCGGCGTACCGTCTGCCCTCATCTTATGATAGCACCCCAATCATGTTACTTGTTTGATGAAATACTTAGGAGTCTGCATGTGCGTCTACTGAGCTGGGTTCGGTGAGATTCTCGCACTTTAAAATGCAACTCTGCTGCATTTTGTACGATATTCTCAATTTCATGCTTCATTTACCACCCTCTGAAATTGAACTGAAAAATCTCGATCTTTTTAACATGGCTAATATAATGAGGAAAAGAATTCTTTGTCAGAAACGTGTTATTTTATGATCATGTAAAGTCTTTGGAAACTGTTTTGCATTTTGTTAATATATATAGTGCTTAAAAAGTACTTTAAAGGTGCTTATATTTTGCTGGGAGATTTGGCTATGCACCCTGAGAGCGTTCACCTCCCATTGAGGTGGCCAAAGTTCGAATTCTCGCAATTGCTGGTTCAGTTGAATTCGGTAACCAGTCACTTTCAAATACTGATCGAAGGGATTTGAAGAAATTGAATTGGAAGATCGGTTGCATAAGTGTTGATCTCTATTGTATCCTATAGAATAAAAGAAGAATCTGACCACCTTATGTTGACCAAGGAAAGAAGTCAATTTTGCCTGAGTTTGAGCCTTATTGAATACCATTCTAAAACTTTCATTGAATCAAAACTATCTCAAGTACCTAGTTGACCACTATTTAAAGATTTTGTAAAATTAAAAAATAAAATTTGAAATTTTGTAATGTTAAATTTTCTAATTATGCATATTCCTTTGTACTGATATTTTTAAATAGATAACTGGCATGCATCTTTAACAAAGAATGCACATAATTTTTTTTTAAAACTAAGCTAAATATTACATTTATGCAACAATTTATAATTGATATAGTTTCTTAAAATATGTAGGATAGATACCAAAAATCTTCCAGTTGAAAAAATGATATGAATGGCATTACGTAAGCGAGAACAACACAGTTTAAGAAGTGGGAAGAGACGAGCCATTATTCATGCAATACAATATCTTTTTAATTTTATATGCTAATAATAGAGCAACATTATACACCTATCTAAGCTGACCACTAAACCAATGCACCACTATTGGTCAACTAAATTCATTATTTTAATCTTTAGATCAAAAGTTATTAATAAGTTCCATCAATCTTATTGAGTGTTTCTCTTTTAAGGTAGGTCCAACTGCTTGGTTAAGTCCTCAAACTGATGATGCTATCAAAGGCTATGTTAACAAAGGAAAGAAAAACATTGTACTGGTTCCGATTTCTTTTGTCAATGATCATATAGAGACACTTCATGAATTGGATATCGAATATGGTACAGAACTTGCCCAGAAGGTATATATGATTGTGTTCTTTTTGTATCTTATTTTCAGTTTTTTTTTGTTGATATTTTTACTTGCTTAAAATATGTTAACTGCTTCCCTTGCCTGAAGAAAAAAAATGCGAAAAGTCAACATATATTTTTTTTATTTCATTAATAAATACAAGGAACTAAAACACAAGTTAAAAGTTGACATTTTATCCCAGATTATCTCGGGCAAAAGAAATAAAGTTTTTGTATATGTTCACAATCTGAAAAATCACCTGCATTACTTTCTCTCGCGAACGCCATTTTTTAACTCTTTTTTTTTCTTTCTATGTAAATTCATCAACCATCGTATGCACAATTGCGCAGAACACGTTTGCGGTCCCACAAATAGCAAACAAATATTGGCAGACTTCCAATCACAGCAGATTATTTTTTGTTTTCCTTCCCGCCAAATAAAAACGTGATAAAACAAAACATATTGACGAATTCTCCTTTACCCGAGTTTACTCGGGGTAAGAAATATTTGCAATATACCCGAATTAACTCTGGATAATCAGGGACTAATGATTTGAGTCTCATTTTTGGTCCTCCTCTCACTTTTGTTTTTCTCTGAAGATATTGATACAACAGGTATTGATACTTACTGCCTTGCAGATAGATATAACCATGTGGGTTAAAAAAGAGGTTATAATTTTCCGTGGTTAATTAGTTTTCAAAATTTTTTTACCAATAAAATTTTTTTTCAAGTTAAAATTTCTTATACATTAATTTTTAAAATTAATATATTTTTTCCTTTTAATTGTCTTTTTGTTTTCTGAAATCTTTCCAATTAATATATAAGTCATGATTAATTGAAATCGTGCATATTAGTTTGCTGTAAATGTCCGATTCTTATTTGTTTTATTATGTATTGCTGTGTCTTAGAAATATATGTAATATTTATTTTTTTTTCAGATTGGAGTGAAAAATTTTCAAAGAGTTCCTGCTCCCAATGATCATCCACTTTTTATTCAAGTAAATATTCATTCTGTTTTATTTATTCATTTATTTTTGATAAACAGCTTTTTATAAGTTTGAATAGTTTTTTCCTTGTTACACAAATTTTTTTTAATGTTTATTTGTATAATTAAATTAAGTATACAGCTTGTCAATTAAAATGTTCAAGAAACCGCTATATTTTTTTCCGAGCCCTCCTACTAGATTAAGGATAAATATTAAGCTTCGTTAAAAAAAATTTATAATAAACTTCAATTTATTCTTCACACAAAGGAATAATTTGCTGCTACTGATAAATTATATAACAATGCATTACAGTAAAATATCTTTATGTTTATTTTTTTATTATTTAGAAACTCAAAAATTTACTTAGTTGAATTAGTCTTAATTTCTTATTCTTATTTTTTCTTTTCTTAATTTTTCATTTCTCTTTAAAATATTTTTCAAATTAAATAATTGTAATCGCATAAAAAATAGATATCTGTCTGATTTTTGCGTGACAAATAAACCTGCTATGCTTAGTGTAATGGGAAAATTTAATATGCAATTATATTAATTTCAAAATTTTTTTTTAAAGTTATAACAGTGAAGTTTTGTAGTCTTAATGTTATTATAATTCAAATTAAATTAATTTCCAAACATTTGTGAAAATCCAGGTGTACTATTCAAAGGTATCAAATATTATAATTTACGTGTAACTATTTTGATTTCATAGTTAAGGTTATGACATTATGGTTGAAAAATCAAAATTGCAATTTTTTAGAATTTTCCTAATAATCTGTTTGAAGTAACAGGGGTCTGTTTAGAAGAAATTTGGGACCCTTCAGAAAATATCTTTTCATAAAAACGGACCCATCACAAAATATTTTAACTTAAAAACGGACCCTTCACAAAATGATTTTTCTTTTAATCGGACCCTTCATGAATTTGTTTATCTTCATTATTGTTTTATGAATCGAATTAACCCTTTCCCCCCAGGGTAAAAAAAAAGAAAGATGTATGTCAACGAACTAAGTTTTGTCTTCGGCAGACGCTTCTTCCATTATTCTTCCGAAATGAATATTCAGCAGTATAGGCTAAATACCAAATATTTGTATGTTGCATCTCTAATTTAGAAGCGGCAATTGCTGTTTATTTTTGAAAATTTAATTTTTTCAATTATAATTTTACAGTGTTGAGCTGTTGAGCATAATCTTGTATAAATTTACAATTTAAAAACTCCTTGAAAAAAGTTTTTTGCAATAACCAGACCCTATTTACACAAATTCAAAAAAGCAGGACCCTGGTTGAAAGAATGTGACTTATTTTATATTCACAAATTGCGAATAATTTTACAAAAACAGGACCTTTCACAAAATGTCTGGACAGACCCCTGAGTAAGTTTACAGAATTACCTCTCCACACAGAGAACAGGGAAAGCCTGGAAAATGCAGGGAATTTAAAAATCATCTAAAATCACAGGGAAAATGCAGGGGATTTTGAATTTTTCCTTACAAACAGAGAATTTCATTTCTTATTTTTGTCTTTTAAAAATATGTAGACATCTCAAAATGCAATCTATGGGATATTTAAGGATAATAGTTCAGCTATATTATACCATTTCATTAATTATAGCACTATTTGTTTTACGTTGAGCTGTTTCTTATTTTTGCAAGTTTTTCCAGCAACTAAATCTGTTATCCTAATATAGTTTACAAGAGCACAATGAATATGTGTTTCCTCTTAATGAATTGTGTATAATATGTGGTGCTTTTGCGTTTTTAAAAAGTGCTGCGTTTTTTAAAAGGTGTTTTTTCATTGAGTGTTTTTAAAAGTGCTTCCTTTTCAAAAATAATATCTTTTCTTTATTATTTCGATTTTTACCAGGTATTATTTAGAAGTCTGCTTTTCACATCGTTCTATTCAACTTATTCACAATTCATTCTATCACAATACATTTCGGCATACCGTCGGTCCATAACGTATGAATGCGCCAATCATTTTACATGCTTGATGAAATACTTGGGAGTTCACATGTGCGTCTCCTGAGCCGGGTTTGGTGAGATTCTTGCGCTCTCATGTGCAACTCTGTTGCATTTTTCAAGATATTTTCAATTTCAGGGTTCATTTTCCAGCCTCTGACTTTGAAACGAAAAATCTCTCCAACATTTTAAATGGCTAACATAATCAAGAAAAGAGTTCTTTGTCAGAAGTTAGTTATTTTATCATGATTATGTAAAGTCTTTGAAAATTATTTTGCATTTTGTTAATGTATACAGTGCTTAGGAATATTTTTTGAGTACTTAAAAAGTACTTAAAAGGTGCTTATTTTTTTGGTGAAAGATTTGGTTACGCACCCTGGTGCAGGGAAAACACAGGGAATTTTCTTACAAATATAAATGGCAACTCTGCTCTACCAAGAGTTATGACATTTTTTACTAATCTATGATATTTTTCCTACTCCTTAAACAATTTCAAGAACAATAAATGAAAATGATTTAATAGAAACAATAAATAAAAAGAAATCTCATCTTTCCTTCCAACAAGCTATTCTGAAATTGCTGGTCTTATAGCTGGTTTTTTATTTCTCACAAAAGAATATAAACTCAAATTTGAAATGTTGTGAGCAAGTATTTTTAGTTGTTCTAAGGCAAAATGATAAAAAAAAGGCAATTAGGACTAATTCTAATTCATCCAGACACTTGAACATTAATCTTATAAAGAAGTGCAGTGAACTCTCGCTACTACGATATCCAATACAACAATAACCTCCCTTTATTGCGATATTGTTTCGTGATCCCAATGAACTTGAAAGTGAATTAATATCATGCTCCTCTCACTATTACGATATTCTCTGAAGCAATAAACCCCTGTAAAGCCATTTTTTATCCAAATTTCAACGTTATTTTCTCCATTTACTTTTGATTTTCAAATAATGTAAAAAAAAATTTTATTTCATCATCTTTTGCCATTTTTTCCATCTTTTCTGACAAGAGAACCACCCCAAGAGCTACCATTCTTAGAATGTAACATTCCTATCTGATTTCATTTCTTTCATGTTAAAAGCTAATCATGAGTCACAAATGACCACACGCATCCCATTAACACCTGAAAAAGAGTTTGATCTGTAGAGGATGTGTCGAGCACCCTTCACAAACGAACTTCCTTTGCACTCAATGCATACTTTTTTACCTGACTTAACAGTAAAAAGAAAATGAATGAACAAACAAAAATATCAGATTATTTTCAATGAAAATGGCTTTCAGGTATGTTTATAATCTGAATTTATTTCAATTGTTTTTAATATTTAACCATAAATAACACACTCTGCAAATTAATTTTGTTGCATATATAACACTAAAAAAAAAAGTCTTACTGTGTCTCTCCAAAGTATCTCTCTACAACACTATATTCATTGGGTCCCTTTAAAATAGTGTTGTATGAAATGTTGTACATTTATCTAAGTAGTATTTCAGTCATTTTATTAACAGTATTTACTAATATAGAATTAATTAGCCTTAAAATTGCTTTTGAATTTCATGAACTATATATATTTCTTTATTGTTATACTTCTGATTATGAACAGATGTTTGAAAAACCTTTCATTAAAAAAAGGAAAATTTTAAAAAAGGAATTTACATTTGACATGATGCGTAGCTCTTAAAAAGTGCTTTTTTTTTAGCTTTCGGTTTTTTAAAAAGCCCTTAAAGGTGCTTTTTTCATGGGGTGTTTTTGAAAAGTGCTTCCTTTTTCGGAAATGAGATTTTTTTTCTTCACCCTGTTGATTTTCACCATGTATTATGCAAAAGCATCCTTCTCACATTGCTCTATTCAATGTTTTCCCAATTTATTCAACCACATTTCAATTCGGTGCACTGCCTGTTCATAACGTATAAAAGTGCCAATCATTTTGCATTTTTGAGGAAATACTCGAGAGTTCGCATTTGCGTCTACTGAGCTGGGTTCGACCAGATTATTGTCGAGCTTCATTTTCCACCCTTTGATATCAAACCGGATCGAGAAAAAAATTCCTTGTCAAAAACTAGTTATTTCGTCATAATCCTGTAAAGTCTTTGAAAATTATTTTGCATTTTGTTAATGTATACAGTGCTTAAAAATATTTTTTGAGTTAAAGAAAGTACTTAAAAGGTGCTTATTTTTTGGTGAAAGATTTGGCTACGCACCCTGTTTGATGTATTACTTTTTATTTTTCTAGGCTCTCGCTGACGTTGTACTAACACATTTTAAAACAGGTGAAGTTTGTAATCCTCAATTGTTACTTAGATGTCCCCTCTGTACTAAAGCTTCCTGTCACAAAACAAAAGAATGGCTCTCTCATTGCTGTCAGAAACTGTAAATTTTTATTTTATTAAAGATTTTTGACTATTCTTTTTGTCCCCCTTTGACTTGTTTTATATGCCAACAACAAAATGAATCAATAGGAAGTTTTATTGTAATGGTTAGGGGAATTGTGCGTATGATTCCTTTGCTTTTCAATATATAAATATTAAATTCTAGGTAAGATGGCAGTTTTTTGAAAAGTGGAATGCCACTTTTTTATTTCATATTGTTGACAAAAAGTATTTTGAGGCGTTATTTTTGTTTTAACCCCTTTAATTTTATTTTTAAAAAAAGAGAAGTAAACCTCACACAACAGGATATCAAAAATGGATTCACAAATTTCTGGAAACATGTGTGCCAAACTTGCCTTGTAAATAACAAAAATAAGCTTCTTTAGAGCTCAATTTCATTTTTTATGCCTAAAATCAGATGATTAGCAAAACATGAGACTCAGTAATATTTAGGGATTGCTTCTCATTAATTGTTAAGTGAAAATGTTCAGTGAAAAAAAATTATTTTTTTTCTATTTGGAAGTCACAATCTTTGGTAAAAATTCTTTTACAGAAGTTTACCCATGGGTCTCCCATTCTTTGTGTTATTTTTGAAGAAAAGTTTTTAATTTTTTCAAATGCTCATGATAGAAAAGATGTGTCTTAGTAAATAGTGATACTGATTTTTAAGAGTTACTTTTTGTTGTGAACTCCTTTGACTCCTGTATTTCAAATAACTTTTGCTTAGTCACATCTGGCAAGTCTTGAAAATGGGTAACTGTTTTAGAATGATCAACTGTTATTTCTAATCTGTATATTTGTGAAGCAAAAGAAGTTTTCATCGAGTCATATTTCAACGCTTCAGTTTCTTGGGATTATTTCTTTCATTGTTTATATTATTTAGTATGCCAGAATATAAAACGAGAAAAAATGTTTTAAAAATAAATTTAAAGTATTGTTTAGCTTATTTATAAAAACAGTCATCTGAAACAATGAATAATTACAACGTCTTCAAACTATAATAGAACAATGTTTTCAAAAATTTGCAACTACAATGAGCATGTTTTTGAGTAACTTCTAATCAAATATTTAAATTTTGCCCCTAACAGAATACATTCATGTATACCTTATTGTATTCTACCCAGTAATATTTGCAATTTTAGTAATTTATTCTAAAAGTTGGAAAAAAGAGAGCTCTTAAAATTTACATTGTAATGTTAATGGGAAAATGAATACTAGTTTATTTAATTAAGAATTGTGGGTTTAAAAAAAAAACACTAAGAATTTTGTTAATGAAATTTCAATGGTAGTAAAATTTTGATTATTAAATGTAGACACTAGTGAAATGTTAGCTGTGGAAAATGTAGTAAAACTGTTAGTAAAACTATTACTTAGGTGCACAACGATAGAACAAATGGGAATCGAGATATTTTAAATGAAGTTTTCTAACGAAACGTATCTAGACGGAAAATATTTATATAAACGATAGATTTCCTACTCTCCCTTATATCTTCTTCAAATTCCTTAATGAAATAACTCATCCATTCAAGTTCAAACACGTTTTTTTAAAAGTGAATACAGTCAAATATTAATTCATTCATTCAATGGGGATGCGCGATACTGATTGGTTAAGTCATTGTTTTAAATTTTACTATAAGTGATTCAGTTTGTCACATATTTTAAACATCAGTGATGAGAGCCGGATTATACCTTTCGTAGGCATAGCCGTTTTTGGGCCCTCCCCTCCTTTCAAAATATATGCTAAAATTTTCTGGCATATTTTTTTTTTACATTTTTATTAATATGGATTTTAATTTTATTTATCGAACTTTATCTGCAATACCGACATACTACCGATATTGTTGTTGATATCGATAATACCATTATGATTAGTTCGATCGATAACTATGTAAACACTTCACGTCAACAATACAACAACAAACCAGCAAAGAAAACAGTGAAATTGATAGTGAAATTTACTCATCCGATTTAGAGGACAACTTTGTAGATGAATTTTTACTATTTTCAAATTTGTATGAACATAAATCTGCACAAGAAATGTTGAAGGCTCAAAATAAAGATAAACTTGTGAATACTTTTCCTAACGTTCACATTGCATTTATTAAGAATATATTTGTCGATTCTTGGATCAAATGCAGAAGGAGAAAGATCTTTCTCCAGATTAAAATTGATAAAAAAATTATTTTCTTACCAGGATCGTTTGACATCGCTCGCACTTATGTCTATTCAATCCGACATTTTGCATAGTTTGGAATTCGACAGCATAATACAAGATTTCGTTGAATCCAAAAATCGCAAAAAAGTAATATATTAGATCATAAGATTCTGCAAAATAATTTATTACCGAAAAATATTATATTTTTATTTGTATCTTCATAATTTTGTGCAAAATACACTTGTTGTTTTTAAAGCTAAATTATTTTTGTCAACAAATTTTTTTCTCCCAAGTTTTTCGTAGGCCCCTGAATTTCGTAGGACCTAGGCACGTGCCTAGTGTGCATATAGGTTAATCCGGCCCTGTCAGTGATAATTTCTAACTTATAGCTTTAATTGAGCAAAAAATAGTTTATTGCGCGCATTTAAATATTTTATATTCGCTTTGTCAGATAAATTCAATAAAGAACGTTATAGGGTCCATGTCATCAAATTTGTTTCGATTGTCATCAAATCGTTGTCTGATAGCCTTTTTTCCTACGTTCACACTTTTCCTTTATATATCTTGTTCATCAAAATAATTTTTGTTCAAATATTAATTCATTCATTTTAGTTTTATAGGGGAGAAATAAAACAATTTTTGTTCGTTTTTTTTGTTTATCAGTGAACTTAGTAATATATTTGCGGAAAAATAAATGAATTATTAGAATTCAAAGAAAATAAAAAAACATACTTTTTAAAGAAAAATTTCTTTACTTCAAATATATAATTTGGGGAAAAGATTTTTGTTATCACACAAAGCAAAATTTAATTTTGAAGCAATAGAAACGCCTATTAAATGCCTATCGTCCATAAAACTAAAAGATTATATACAATAGCGAAAAAAATAAACATTTATCTTAACATGTTTCCGGTTATCTATAAAGGAAAAAAAAGTGACAATAAATGAATAACGTTCGATTAGAAACGATAAACAAAGAATAAATAAAACAATCGTTTTCAATTATTAAAACAAAAGGCGTCGGCAAAATTGACTTGCCTGAATCTAATTTTAAAAAAACAAAATAAGTAGTATAAAAGCATGGGCGTCGCAATTTTTGAGGTGTATGAAAATAAAATACTCAGTCATACTAGTTTTTTTAATTTCCTGTCTTAAATTTGTTAATTGAAATCTCATCTCAATTCTTCTTTAAATCGAATCCCCTCATTGCCGTTGAAAAGCCAATTTTGTTAATCACGTGTCGTGTTATTTCCGAATACGAAACGCGACAATTTCATTAGAAATGAGCTCATTTTCTATTTTACGAAAAAGAGTAACGATGAATACAGTTTGGTTAGGCGAATGTTGCATAAAGTCAAATTATCAATACATTTTCAACGATCGTACGGTGTGTAAAGCTACGTAAACAATACAAAATTAAATTTTTAATGACAATCAGTACTTTTAACTCTAAAAAAAAATCCGTATTTATTATTAAAAAAAAGTTATTACCATTCAAAAATTTATCAGAGCAGGCATTCTTCTGCCATCAGTGGCGTAGTTTTAATATATGTTCGAGGGGGTTATCGGCCATCTCCTTCTAATGTATATATATATACAGCAAAATAAATATATACACGAAGAAAATTAAGAAAAACAATAAGTTTCATTCATTGCACATAAGCTGCAAGTAAATAGAACTCATAAGATAAGTTCAAAATGAAGATAAAACAAAGGAAAATTATAGACGTATGAAAAAAGGGAGAAAAAGAAAAATAATAATAAAAAATAAACAACTAGGGGGAAAAATAATAAAAAAATACGGAAAAAAAAGGATAAAAATTTTTTTAAAAATTCGGAAAATAAAAGATTTAATCTTTTCATCAGCCCATTCGATTATATCTGCAAAAAAGAGTGCTTTCTAATATTGTATCAATATAGCCAAAGCAAAATCTATCAATACAATAGTGTGAGGAGCACTGAAAANGAAAAAGAAGAATAATAATAAAAAATAAACAACTGGGGGGAAAAAAAAGGATAAAATTTTTTTTAAAAATTCGGAAAATAAAAGATCTAATCTTTTCATCAGCCCATTCGATTATATCTGCAAAAAAGAGTGCTTTCTAATATTATTGTATCAATATAGCCAAAGCAAAATCTATCAATACAATAGTGTGAGGAGCACTGAAAAATTTTTTACAAAAATTATAACAAATAAAATAGTACACAATAAGTAAAAATATCACGTAAAAGCATAAAATAAAACATAATCTATAAAGCGAGTAACGAAATCAAATGAACTTACATGAACGGGAAATTTTTCAAGAATGATTTAAAATATTTTCTTAACAAGATTGCAAAATATGAAAACAAAGCGCAAATTGAGCGTAACTAGAGGAGTTTCGTTTTAAGGTGTGTTCTGTTCTTACTGCATTTCTGAAGTGCGTTTGATTTGTTAGTATCCTTTTTTCATATATCTGAAATTTTCCTTTGTTTTATTTTCATTTTGAACTTATATATAGTTAGATAGATAGAGGGATGGACTGACAGGATGTGTAGCGTTTTTAAAAAGTACCTAAAGGTGCTTATTTTCGTTTTTTAAAAGTGCTATTTTCATTGGATGTTTTTAAAAAGTGCTTAATTTTCCCTTTTTCAAAATGAGATTTTTCCTTTACTATGTTGATTTTAGCTCCGAATTATGCAGAAAGACACATTCTTCTATTCAACGTTTTCACAATTAATTCAACCCCCATCTATTTCGGCAGACCGTAGCGTATGAAAACAACATTCGTTTTACATTATTCAAAATTTCTTGATTTTTGACAATGCCAAAAGGTTTTTTTTTGACAAGACAGTTAAAAGAAGATAAAACCGGTAAATATTTTTTGAGTGTTTGAGAAGTG